GAGCTGCCAACAGGTGGCAGGATGGCTCAGCTGGTGTAACAACAAGACTGCCTGTTCGATGGCGGACTATGCCCACCCGCAACTAAGACTAAACTCAGCACCTTGAGCTGAGCTGCCACCCGGATGGCTCAGTGGATAGAGCGTACGCTCTTAACAAGGCTGCTGGTTCAACTCCCGCATGGAATGGTGGCTACGCCCACCTGCAACTAAGATTGTAACACAGCACCTTGAGCTTAGAGGCCACGAGCTGCCGATGGGAAGCCAGATGGTGACTGGGGTCCTCCACAACTAAGATTGAAGAACAACAACTTAGGTGATCCCCCTCCCCAATTCCCCAACACTGTTCCCCTCCCCCAATTCCCCAATTTAAAAAAAAATTGGTCTTAAGAAGAACAATTAAAGGCATAGCTTTCACCAAATTAGCCACAGTTGTTTTTGGCATTCCCACATTTGCATATTCTTGGATGCAAGGTTTGGAAGGAGATACTCTTTGTGAAATCCTCCTTTGGAACTTAGAATTTAGATTTTCAACAACTGGCACTAAATGATTAAAATTTATCTTGAAAATATACCTTTATTTTCCTAACTGATTCACTATGCAATGATTACTGAATAAATATGTTTTTATTAAATTCCTTCTATATGCCAAGCCCTGCTCTAGTCATTAGGGAGACAATGGTAAAGAAACAAGCAAAGGTTTTGTTCATTTGTATGCAGCATCTTACTACAATTAGTCAACACATCAGTCTACCCATTACCAATTAATTTATTATGCATTAATGTACATCATCATTCATTCATTCATTCATTCAATCATGTTTATTGAGTACCAGGCACCATTTTAGGTACTGGGGTTACAGAAGTGAACAGAACAAATCTCTGACCTCGGGGAACTTATCTGCTATATCCTAAAAGATATGAGCCCTCCTGTAGCACCAGACTTTGTTAAGAAAAAGAAATTCCATGGACATTTAGATATATTATTGTTTTATAGATCCCATAGCAAAAGGCTTTCATTAACAATGGGGACTACTTATTATTTTTTGGTGTATTGGTCACAATCAGAAGGAGGAAGACATATTCCTTTATAATGTTTATTTCTCTAATTGATTATGAAAAAGGAATTTGTTGGGTGCCTAGCTGCTATTGTGTTATGTTAGATTTAAGAGCAGCTGTGCTTTCTCAATATATATTGCATTGTCAGAAGCAACAGTACATTATTTTTTGAGCTATCAATGAGGATTCCTCATTTTCCTCATTTCCACTGTACGTTGTTTTAATTAATTAATTTTAAAGGAGATATGAGCCCTCATCTTTGGTAAAGATAAATCCTCAGTAAAAACTAATTAGAAAGTGTAAGTTTCCATATTTAAGCACTCAGAACTGGAGTCATTAAATCCTTAGAAAGAATACCAAGGCCCCACAAAGAGCTTGGGCCCAGCAAAGGCATTAGGGACATGCAACCTGCCTCAGGGAATGCATCTTTATTTCTTTCCCACTAGTGCTGGGCTGGCTTCATGGAATCCAGCCAAGTGCAGCAGACAGAAGAGTAATTTGCTGGAATTTTGTTTGTAGTGTCAGAGCAAGGATTCATCATTATATCTAAAAGAGCATGAATTAATTGACCGTCATAACAAAACGGTCATTCCATCCAAAATCTCAGGACCACATAAACCCTAGAGGATGCAACTTCCTTTGAACCTATGAATATGTCCAAAAGGCAAACAGAGCATACACTAAAAGGGCTTATTAACTGACTGCATCTCCTCATTTCATCTTCCTTTCTTTCTTTCTGATCTGTTTTGACTTTTTTTTTTAAGTTCCTTCCTCTTTGCTCACTAATTTTCATCTGCATTCCATTTTTAATGAAATAAAGGCTGCTAGAACCACTAGTTCAGGAAGCCACCGTTTGGTAGTAAGCAGTGGTCACTGGGATTCTAGGAAGAAAGCTGGCTTTAGTTGAAATCAGGTTTCCTTTTGATTCTGGACATGTAGGTGCAAGAAGAAGAACGGAGTGGAAGCATGGACTGTGAGTTTCCTCCGGGAAGAGATTTGGGTCCTCTGTTAGTGACCTCAGACTTCATAGCTCAATTACAAAAAAACAAGAACAGAGTGCTTATCTATTGGGTCCGGGGGTGGGGGGAATCTAGAATGGAGTGAATGAGCTTTGTGTTCTATTTCTTTGCATTAGCAGATACTTCTTACCTGTTTTTTCAAAAAGGGAATATATTGGAATATGACAGTGTTTTTTATTTAACTATTATACAAGTAGCATGTTCCCTCTTTGTGCAGTAGGTGTCAGCCTCACACAGCCTTTCTCTTCCTAAATCCTTACTCATTAGAAAACAACCCTCTTATTTTACCCTTTCTCTGGTTAAAAGAAACAATTTCTTCCCATCTTAAGCATTCAAAACAATGGAAAACAGTCACCCAAATATTGGAGTAAAGTATTTGGAAAATGACCAAGCTGGGAACTGTGTGAAGGGGTGACAAATGTTGGAGGTGGTGAGCAAGGCAAATTCAGTTCTGTGGGTCTCATTGAACAGGTGTTAAGTGTTGGTTTCAAGGTGGGTCTCTAAAAGGCACAGTTATGACACCAACTCAAGAAGAGGTGGACATGTCCCTATCAAAGGAGCCTTCTGTTTCCTTCAGACAAAGGAAGTTGAGGCATCAGCAAGTAGCTATAATGTCCTGGGGAAAGCTCTCAGTGTAAACCACTGATATCCCTCTTGTCCATGAATAGGTTAAGTGTCTGGTCTTTGACCTCAGGTAAGATACTTCTCTGAGCCTCTGCTTTATAATCTTTACAACAGGAAAATATAACTGCTTTATCTACCCAGAGTATTTAGCGAGGAGGAAAAAAATTAAGATTTGTGCATAAAACAGTTTGTAGACAGTAAAGCACTACTTAAATGTAGAAAGTAGAATGAAAGATATAAAAACAAATGTAGAATAGTTATGAGTAAAAACGAATTTAGTACTCAAAATTTAAGAAACTTCAGTTGATAATTTCTGCAGATTTTTCTCAACATGTTACACCAAGATTTTTCTTTTCCTCCTGTGTTCAACATTAGTCATGTGGAATTTTGACACACTTAGGGTTTATTTCACAAAAAGATCCCAACCTGAAAAGAGCCATATAATATGAATAAATGGTGTGTTGAAGGAGGGGAGAATCCTTTCCTAGCTTTTATTTTGTACCACTAGTAGACAGTCATAATCTATTTGCAAACTCCAAGTGCTAAAGAAATAGAAATATTAATCTTCGACAGCCTTCCTTTTCAATTTGGTATGCTGAGTACCACTACATCCCAAGAATGTATTTAATCCTATAACCCCCTGTAGCTTCTTAGTTCATAAATTGAGATGGCTAAAGCTTACCATATTGTGGTCAGTTTGCATTGGTTTGGGCAAGAGACTTCAAATGAGTCACATTCATGTTTTATCTCATATTAAATCTACATAATTTAAATTAGAAATACAAATATTACCAAAAGAACTTATGTTTTAAAAGCAGAAACATTATTTGTTTTATACTTTGATGCTGAAATTTGAGCAAAAGTCTTCAAATCAGATTATTTAATAATTAATCCATCGATTTTCCTATCATTGCTTTCTAATGTTGTCAGGAAAGGCCAGGGGCAATTCAAAATGTTTCATTTCCCATGACTCATCCCCTCCCATGGAGTTTTGTGCTATATATTCCTTGCCTTGTCTTTTTTTTTTTTTTTTTTTTTTTTTCTGAGGCTTTCAATTTGCAGTATCTTGAACTGGAAGAGAAGAAAGGGTTGAACTCTCACCCTTTGAAATTCCTTAATTATTGCTGAGTGGTCAAGGAGCAAAGTGGAAAAGACTGCTGATTGGACTTCACCTTCCTTTGGAAAAATCTTTGCTACAATAGATCAACCACCTCCATTTTAAGAAAGTAAGTATTTCTTTTCCTTAAAATCCGAAATCTTTTGGAATATTTTCTTTAAATATTGAGGCCTAACTCCTATACTTAGTGGTCAGCTTGGGAAATTTTATTTTTTTAGACTTGCTTTAAAGTCAAATACTTTTACATAATATATTTCATAGAGATTCAAAATACTTTTATTTTAGATGTATAGTGCTGTCTGCTATATTGTTTCTTGCTGTTTTTTTCAAAATACTTTGCAATTATAAATAGACATCATTGCTCTCACGCTTAAGGCAGCAGTTTCTGGGTGAAATGCTTCAGGGAAGCCAAGACAGTATCAATATAATCATAAGTTAGTCATCTTTTAACATCAACAATCTGCTTCATGATCAGAGAGATGCTGATCACTCCCCACCCCCTCCCGGTCTGCCTTTCAAATAATTTATAGGTGCAAAAAGTATTAGAAGCTGTGAAAGGCCCCATTCCACCAGATTGTGTCGTTCTTTCCTGGGACCAGGGTGAGAGTCACTTTGTTCCTGATTCAGCAAACACTAAATAAGAGCTGTGAACAGTGAGGCTCCCACCTCTTCCTGGTGATTTTGTTTTCACTATAGTCTTCACAGCTCACGATTATACTAAATGAAACTCTTTTCCATTATTCTTAATTCTTTCCATCACCCACCCCCACCGGTGGATCTCCTCCTTTCAGAAACTTGAAGATAATGTCCCTACAACCTTCTCTCCAGTATCCTCAAATGATCCAGACATAAATATTTTAGTACATTCGCCAGTGTCCTTCTGATGGCATAAAAGCGTCTACACAACTTGTCCCTTATTTATAAAGCTCACAAATGCTGTATGACCTGTAAGGCTATACTAGCTAATGAACTCTCCGAGAACAGTTGCCAGGGAAAGATTTGACTTCCACTTCTTCCAAGAAGATGGAGAAAAAGAGACGATTACAAAGAGAAATATTTTTAACGCATCTTCTCGGTGATTTTGGGGGCTGGGAGGTAATATTTAAATTGAAGAGGAGGGAGGAGACGGAGTGAGGATGGAGAGGAATGGACGGAGCGAGGGCGGAGCTAGCTCAGCACATATAAAGCACACGCGAAAAGGGAAGCACGTTCGTGTTTGCCAGAGCCACTCGCCTGCAACCAAGATAGATGGGGCAGCCTGTGCCGTGAGCACGGAGATCGGAAGAGGAAAACAAGGACAAGAAGACAAGCGAGGCAGGAGAAGTTATCTGGAAAAATCGGAAGGGAGAAGACAGGGAGAGGAGAAGAAATCCACAGCAGGTGGAAACAAGATCCTGAGCAAACCGGTTGGGTCCACAGTTGTTTTTCTGCAAGAGAAGAAAGTAGCGGAGGATTGCCTTTTTACCCTTCGGTTAATGAAAAGTACTTTTATCCTCATAAAAGAAAAGGCTAAAGGGAGGTGAAAACCTGTTTTCTTAGGTGAAGAGCTGGGGGAAATCCAGATTATCTCTTTTTGAAGTGTTTGAAATAAGCCATTGCCTGGTGCGTATTGCAGAACCATCCTGTTTTCTGAAGATTTACATCCCTTCCAGGAGAATTCCAGCCGGAGTAGCTGGTACAGTTTTATTTTTCTATTTAAAGATCTATGTCTCCCCCAACCCCTCCTTAACAACACTTTCCTTGTTTGTTGTAAGCACGAGTGACAAGAAAGTGTCAATACAGAGTAGAAATATTTTCAGTTTTCTCTTTTACCTGCCTGTGTCTTTTTTTAAGAGGGTGGGGAGTGCTCCTTATTTTGGAAAGGACATTTGAATTTGAAAGGCTGTCTGTCTAAACATATTTATGCCCATACACATTTAAAAAGAGAGATACCTTTCAGAGGTTGAAATCCTACTGAGAAAGATGGAAAAAGGAGCGAGGCATCGAAACAACACTGAAAAGAACCACCCAGGTGGGAACCAGACAGAGGCCAGCCCAGATACTGGGTCCGGAGGGGGCGGAGTAGCCCTGAAGAAAGAAATTGGATTGGTCAGTGCTTGCGGTATCATTGTAGGTGAGTCCAATTCCTTTCCCCACCGACCACTCCTCTCCACCTCTGGTGGTCCTCCTGTGGAAACGTCATCCCTCTAAAGTACTATTTTTGCTCCCTACTCCATTAGAAAAGGATTGTCAGTCACTTGTGCTGTAACCTACCCTTGCTGGTCAAGTTTGAGAGGTATGGGAAGTGGTTGGTGTATGTCATACATCTCTTCTTCCAAACCAAGCTGAACAGTTCTGTCCAGTGTTCATAGAATGGAGCAAATAGGGATCGCACACCTGGCTGATGGAAACATTGCCCGGGAGCTTGTTGAAAAAAAAAAAATACAGGTCTCCGGACACCCCACTTGAAGATTCTGGTTCAGTAGGCTTAAGGTAGGGCTAGGGAGCCTGAAGTTTTAACAAGCTTTTATGCAACCATCTCCTCAGCAGGCCCTGGACTAGCTTTTGAGATATGTTTAGTAAATATTTTGTTATTTTATGTTGTATGAAACTATGAGCCTAGGGGATGTGTAATAAAAATAGCTACAGCTGTGATAATAATACTTTGCCTTTTCATAGCTTTTCCATCTTAGGCAGCACCTTGTGAAGTAGATATGACAGGGCTCTTATTCCCATTTTACAGATGAGAAGATAAGGAAGAAAAGAAGAGACAGATTGTGCCTTTCTGTAAATGCATAGTTTGCAGTTTCTCTAGTTGTCTAGTGAAGTCCACCTATCTTCAAACATGCAAGAAAGACCCTGTGAGGCTCTTGAAGGGAACTGGGAGTAACTAAAATGTGGAGTCAAGGAGGAACTGATGGGTGAAATGTGTCCTGGCTGGGAAGCTTTGAAGGTGGGGAGCCTAGGTGTTCTTGAGACTGCCATTGCAGGCCACTCCAACCCCCTAACTATACTCCACACAGCAAGGGGTCCCAAATACGACTCCATCTCCAGAAAACACATCTTCCTCTTCCCAGAAAGGCCCTGGAGATGAATGGGGCAATGACACAATACTGTCCTCACTTCAGAGGGTAAGAGTTTCTCCTGTTGTCTTTGGCAGAGGGCTTTCCCTCCTCCCTATAGTAAGGGGTACAGGACGGTCAAGCTGGATATGCTTCTGTGTCATCTCTCCAGAGTTCTTTTTGAAGGCTTATTGTGCCCACAAACCAGTTTCTCTGGATGACCCCATGGTCCATGTGGTAGCACAGGGATGTTTTTGGCACCTGTGCAATAGTGACACTGGAGAACACCCTTGAAATCAAATAAAATCAGTATAGTATTGAGATAATCCTCTTCACCTCTACACCCAGACTTCAGTGATAATGTTACCTCCACTCTGTTTTTAAAATAGAATCCCACTTTATCTAATTCTCTGACTCTGGGAGGTTCTCTAGACATCTACAGTTTTAATAAAGGTAATGTTATTTTTAAAAATTATAGTTGTGATCTAAATATCTCATTACCTTTTCTTTGCCTCCCCTTCATTTCAATTGCTCTAAAAAATGAGATCAGCAAAGTACTCAATATGTATAGCACATGCCAATTTAAGGTTTATAAATAGCCCAGAGCCTGTTACCTCTTTCACCACTTTGACTGATAGGATTAAGCATTTTCCTTCCTTTGGGAAGGTTCTGATTCATACACAGATGCACAACCCACATACACACAAGCACAACCTCCTTCTTCCAGCCTCAGCCTTACTCACTTACCCTTACATATGTGCAGGTTTTCAAGGGTAGAGGATATTTCCCTATATACTGAGGTTGTTTTGTCTCTTTCTTCAACATTTGTCTAAGACTATGAAGCAATGGGAGGTATAAAAAGTACTGTGTTTCATACAAGCTCATAAAGCTTCATTTACAATCTTCACTGATGATCTAAAGTAGAAATAACAGAATGGCAGTGGCTATAGAAATATAAAATGAACTAATAGAAGAGTCAGGCCCTAGAGTTACTTATAATCTGACTGGGGAGATGAGATTCATATACATTAAACAGAGAACATTGAAAATGAATGATATGGTGAGTTGTATAAGGGGTAAAGGAGGGCAAAGTTAGGTGAATGGTGGGAAGCACTAAGTGGTAGAGGCTCTCACCCAGAACTAGATTAAGAAGCATCTTGAAAGATGTGGAGAAAGACAGAGTAGAGAAGATGATTTGGGGAGATTTTGTGGGTAAAAGGACAATGACTGAACTGTTATTTCCTTGAGAGAAAAAAAATGTGTCTTATACATCTCTGAGTCTTTGGTGCTTAGCAGACTGCCTGACATGGAACAATCACTGAAATGATTGTTGAATATTATTGACTCTTGGACAAAAGTCTGAAGACAGTAGCAATAAGAAGTGTTTATCTAAAGGGCTGTTGGGAATCTGGTTTGAAAATCTTTAAGCTAAGAATAATTTCATCAACCTGGACCATTAGATTGTTCTGTTTTGATTTTTTAACCTCACCTTTGCTCTAATCTAAATAGGCTATTGCTCTCCATGTACTTGGCTAAGGAAACCTATTGGCAACAGATGAACTTAGATTTCTCCATGAATGTGGAGTTCTTCCTTCCCCCACCCCCAATTCTAAAGAGAATGTGAAGGAGCAGCAAAATTCATTTATTAATTATATCAAAGCTACTGTTAATAGCTATCAGTATGAAACTTTTATTTGCCAGGCATCCAATTATCTAACATGCAATATCTTATTTATCCCTCACAATAACCCCGTGTGGTAGACACTTATTAACCCTTCCTCCAGATAAGGAAATAGAGGCTCAAAAGGATAAACAACATGGTGAAGGTCAAACAGCTGAAAACTATTGAAGCCAAGATTCAAACCTAGAGCTTGTCTGAATCCTGAATCGAGTTCTTAAGCATTATTCTCTGCCCTTTCTATTTTTATGTCTTGAAAGGGGTATTTTCCTTTAGACCCGGGACAGAGGTCTGTATTCGTTTTTACTGATGAAGCAGTTAGTGTTGTATTCCTGGAGGAAGTGTCCCAGTGTAAAGGGGAGTTGTGCGATCAGCTGGAGTGGAAGAAGGTAATGCTCCTGGTGCAATTGAAGGAAGACTTGGTGGGGAGCCTGAGGTGTGTCAGCTCAGCTACTATAGGATCTGGCCAGCACAGACCACTCTCCCATTAACTCTCCCACATGCACACTTTTCCTTTATGGACCACTGATCTTCCCAGCCATGGAAGAGGGGCCAGAGTTCCTGGCTGTTTAGGTTACTTTATACCAGTTATGTATTTAGGTACATACCCAGAATCTAGGTCTGAAAGCATCGGGCCGGCTGCAGAGCCTAAAGAAAAATATTCATAATATGTCAGACCTTTTTGTTTTTAGCACAATATGCATTCATGGGGGAACTTGGTCTATTCGCTGCAGAGCAATACTTTATACAGGTCTAGCTATTAGACCATTCTATCTCAACTAAAAAGATGTTTAAAAAACAGTATTTATTGAGCTCTAACTAAATGCCAGTTCCTGTGCTATATACGATATAAACCATATATATATATATATATATATATATATATATATATATAATTTTATTTTATTTAATCCTGACCCAATCCTGTGGAAGTAGATATTAAACATCACAAAGCTGGTAGGTAATTTGCCCAGGGTCACACAACTGATTACTGAGATGGTCTTACTCCGTGGCCAAAGCTCTTAGCCATTCCCCATTTCTAATTGGCAACCAAGAGAGGAGGGAGGGAGACTGGTGTATATTGTGTAGTGGGGGAGTGGGCCATGGAGGACCATCATCCTGAGGTTGGAGTCTGGAAAGACCATGGATGTCTGATACTGAAAATTTTGGGAAAAGCTTTTCTTTAAGGCTGATTGTCAACAAAGAAGTGTGACTATAGTTATAACCATACTGAAATGACAGTGGCTGATTTGGAAAATTTTCAAGTCTAATAGATTTTCAGAGCCATGTGTTTTATACCACTTTAGAAAATTTTGCATTTTATTCTCTGATATGATATATTAGCTTTCTAATAGACATTTTCCAAAATGTCTATTGACTGTTAACCAGAGGGATAGACTGTGAAAATTGCTTCTTGAGTTTGAACTTCAATTATTTTTTTTAATACATGGAGAGATTGGGATTTGGTTCATTCAAGGTGAAAACATGTTTAAAACTCTCATTGTTCTTAAAGAAAACTCTGAGACAGAAGCCAACTGGGAGGCTTGTCAAAACAAATACATCTTGGTGAATAGAGAAAGGCTATACCCAGCAGCATAATAATAATAATAAGTAGCTACTATTTACTGAGCACTACTGTGCACCAAATACATAGTACCTGATCAGTGCTTCATGAATATTCCCATCTAATCCCATGAAATAAGTACTGTTATAAAAAGGAAGGGTTTGAATGAATAAGTAATGGGTAATGGCAGAGCCAGGGTTCTACCCAAGTCATTGAACTCTGAAGCCACTGGGCTTAATCAAAAAGCTCCACAACATGGAGCTCAGAGTGGCTGTGGCCAGGAATCCTGTTGCATGCTTCCTACACCAGGAACCAGGAGCTCAAGAAGAAATCTGGTTGAGCCTGCAACAGACAGGGCTACAGTATGTTCTCTCAAAGAGCAGAGTTATGCAGAATGAGTGACTAACAGGAGATGCTTAGGATTAGGGAAAGAAAATAGGAACCCAGCAGGTAAAAAAATTGAGTCCAAGAAACAGAACCAAACAGCCCATTTTATTTAGAAAAACAACAACAAAACACCCTGTACCCAGATCAGATGACTTCTTGGAGAGGCCGGCACCATATACAATAGTATATAACTTTTCTGAATTATATTGGCATCTTGAATCTTATGGAGGTATCGGACAGACTGGTTGAGCTTTTCAAGTTGCCTGGCTACCATGGTTTTCTGCTTTCTTCTGAGGGTTAACCCAGCAGCACAGATGCTTACAAAGAAATGCCTCAGGAATTTCTGGCTGTTGCCCTTGTTGTTGTTATTGTTTGGAGTGGTGAGGGGTGTTAAAAAAGCAAGCATGATCAAATAATCCCAAGAATATATTCTGAGCTACAGA